ATCCTTCGGCGTCGCCGGCTTTCTTTTCCACTACGTGCAGCTGGCGCCCCAGGCTTGTGCATAGTTGTCTGTCTGGGCAGTTGCTCGGGGCTTGGCGCCGCAAGGGCGACTTACTCCGCAGCTTGCACCTCTGTGCGCTAGGTGCGTCCCCGTGAATGCTGAGCATTTTGCTCTGTGCACATGCATTTCACGCCTCGCGTGGAATTTGCCCGCTCCGCCGTCCCGTGCACGCTTGTCGCCGCCAGACCATTGTCGCGCGGCCGCCGACCAACAATTATCTTGGCGAAGGACCCAACCATATGCAGTTGTGATTATCGCAATTGTGAGTACATTCTTCGGTGGCGCCCCCTATGGGGCCACGAACCGCATGAGGGGTGTGCCGAAATGTGGCGGGGTACACAACGCAAAGGAAAACGATAGATCTGATCACGAGAGAAAGAACGCGGGTGAGTCAGAGCGCGAGGGAATCTGAGTATGAATGGGTCTGCGCGCGAGTGAATATTTGCATGAATGCGATCATGGAAACGCCTAGTGTAAGTGTCGAGCATGCCTGTCCGAACACACGTGACACTGGGCGTGGCCGCCGCAGGCAGCTTCCGCGGGAACCCCGACGGCAGCGTCCGCACGTCGCGACGCCCATGTCGGCGCGCCTCTTGCGAGGATTGCGCCCGCTTTCGGCTCTTCTTTCCCTTCCTCTTTGCCCGCGCACTCCAAAATCCAAGGCTGCGGGCGCAGCGCAGCGCGGAGTCCCCGCGACGCGCGCTGGTCGCCCCGGGCGGGGTCCCAGCGACGCGCGCGGGTTGTCCGCTGCGCGAAGCAGAGAGAGCTGACTAGCTAACTGGCTGGCTGATAGCGGGCAAGTCTCTGACCGCTGGGCAGAGCGACGACGGGCGAACGAGGCGCCGGGCCCCCCGCAGCACGGAGTTCCCGCGACGCGCGCTGGTCGCCCCGAGAGGGTCCCAGCGACGCGCGCGGGTCGTCCGCGGCGCGAGGCCAAACAATTAGTCGGGCAGTCGAGAGAAGGCGCGGCTCGGGGGAGACGCTCCTCAGGTCAGGCCTCGCGGATGAACTCGGTGAAGCCGAGCTCCCTGGCGAGGGCCGTCGCTTCCCTCCTGCACCGCTTCGTGCGCGCCGCAAACTGCTCCAGCTGCTTCCGCAAGCCCTGCGGCGGCCCTGCCAGGAAGAACTCGATGCGCGGCGCCCGCATGAGCAGGAGGTCCTCGTGGCGCGTGGCGCGCGAGAGCAGCACGTGGAGCTCCAGCCACCAGTCGTCGTCCTCCTTCTTGCCGTTCCCTACCTCGTGGCGGCCGCAATCCGGGATCACGCCTGGGCGACGTCGACCGAGGGAGCAGCGCAGCCGACGGCCCAGGGCGAGAGTCCACAGGACCGAGAGATGGTCTGGCCGCGGACTGCTCGCGCCCCGGAGGTCTGGCCGCCCCCGGAGCGCCGTTCCCCCGCCCCGTCGCCTTCGCGCATGGTGCGCCCCTGGCACGCCACCGTGGTGATGACCCTGCCGTGCGAGAAATGCGGGGGGTGTGCCGAAATGGGTGGGGGTGACGCATGCGGGCGGCGGCACTGAGGCCTTCGGTGGAGCTCCCTATGGAGCCACGAAACGTGTGAGGGGTGTGCCGAAATGGGTGTGGGTGACGCATGCGGCCGCGGGCACTGGGGCCTTCGGTGGAGCTCCCTATGGAGCCTCGAAACGTGTGAGGGGTGTGCCGAAATGGGTGTGGGTGACGCATGCGGCCGCGGGCACTGGGGCCTTCGGTGGAGCTCCCTATGGAGCCACGAAACGTGTGAGGGGTGTGCCGAAATGGGTGTGGGTGACGCATGCGGCCGCGGCCACTGGGGCCTTCGGTGGAGCTCCCTATGAAGCCACGAAGCGTGTGAGGGGTGTGCCGAAATGGGTGTGGGTGACGCATGCGGCCGCGGGCACTAGGGCCTTCGGTGGAGCTCCCTATGGAGCCACGAAACGTGTGAGGGGTGTGCCGAAATGGGTGTGGGTGACGCATGCGGCCGCGGCCACTGGGGCCTTCGGTGGAGCTCCCTATGGAGCCACGAAACGTGTGAGGGGTGTGCCGAATTGGGTGTTGATGATGATGATGATGATGATGATGATGATGATGATGATGATGATGATGATGATGATGATGATGGGAGGGGGGAGGAGGCAGCGGGAGGAAGGAAGGAAGGAAGGAAGGAAAACGTGGGGCACCGTCTCTTCAGAACGAGGACCCAACACCACAGGATGGTTGGGAAAAACACCCCCACCAGCGCCTTCAGCGCGGTCGGCCCTTGTTTTCCACAGCCTGTTGTCGGCATGGGGAGCTGCTCGGAGCTTGGCGCCGCCAGGGCGATGTCCTCCGTTGCACTCGCACTGCTGGCCGCCTGTTCACTCTAGAGTGGCCGACGCCTAGGTGCGTCTGCTTGCGAATGTGGAGTATTTTGCTCAGTGCTTGTGCACCGCACGCTTCGCGTGCAATTCGCCTTGTTCCGTAGTCCCGGACATCGCACGTTGCCGCCAGACCGTGGTCGCGCGGCCGCCGACCCAAGAACAAATCCCACCAACCCCCAACGACAGCAACACTCAGTTGAGCTGCGTTGATCAGGGAAGTGCGGGGGCACGCGGTCGCGGTGGAACAAAGAGACGGGCAGCCGTCAAACCAAATATCGGGATCAGTTTGACCAGGCCCAGGAGTAAACCATGAATAGTTTCGCGGACCTTACGGTACAGGAGTTTGTTGGCAGCTTACTTTTGCCATTGTGGATGCTGTTTGGGCTCTCTTGGGGTGTTTCGGGTGCATGTTGGGACCATCGATCAACGAAGGGGGGTTCTCAGCTGCGCCTCCCCTCAGTAGCCTGAAAGTCGCACGTTGGGGCGATGTTGGGGCCGTCTTATGTTCCTGTTGGGCCATCCGGGGCCGTCTTGGGCGTATCTTGGGCCATCTTGGGCACTCCAACGCCTCGCGAAACGCTCCCTCCTGACCCAGGGAGAAGGGGGAACCGGGTAGAGGTAAACCTCCTCCCGAAGAGGAACATAGACTTTGAGGTAACGAACTTCCCTAAATCACCTACGCCCTAAAGGGCTGTGGTGGGATTCGAGTTAGCTCCAACCTCGGCACGGGGGTATCGCCTGGGAGTCCAAGCGCCTGCGGCACATCCCCCACCGTGCCAGCGAAGCTTTCTTGTGGCGACCTCTCGAGCACCGCCCCGGTGGCCGTCACGCGTGACATCTCTCGCCTCATCCCCTCGGGGAGCTCTCGTGGGGGACTGAGGGGGCCTTCTTGTGGCTGTCTTGGGCACCTGTGGAGCAGCCTTCACCACCACCTCATCAGTTGGAGGGGGGAAGGAGGTGGAGGATGAGGGGGAGGAAGAAGAGGAGGAGGAGGAGAAGGAGGAGGACCCCCTCCTCCCCCTCCTTCTTGTGGTGGTGGAAAGCAGGCCCATCACCAGTGGGCGCCGTTGGGCCTCGAAGACTGCAAAGTGACCGATCTTCGACCAAAGGGCGTGGAAAGCAAACCATGGGGAAACATTAAGGAAATCCTGCTTTGGGCGTGTCGATGGCCTGTTGGAAGGTGTACTGGGGGTGCCTGGGAGCCTCGTGGATGTTTCTTGGGATTTATTCGGCGCTTCTTGGGAACTGCTGGGTGCCTCTTCAGGCAAGGTTGGGCCACCTTGGCAGCCTTTGTGGCCTTCCCCGATCGTCGTGGAAGCCTCGGAGCACCTTGAAGCACGGCAGGGAGGCGTCGGCGCGGCCAGGAACCTTCGGGAGGAGGGGGCCGTGCACGCAGAACTCCGTGAGGGGAGGGGAAGGGGGACCACGCTTCCACGTGCCACGGGGCACGAGGGCGCATCTATGTGGTGCAACGTACGCGTGGTCAATATATTTTGTGCAACGTACCTTGTTGAACCTTCGGTGTCGGGCGAAGGGCTGGAAACCTCAGCCAGCGCACGGGGCGACGGAGAGGCGGCGACGGGCGGGGCGCAGGCAAAAAACCCAGAAAGGCCAGCCAGCGCACGAGGCGGCGCAGCGCACGAGGCGGCGGCGAGGTGGCGACGGGCGGCGACCGGTCGAGCAGTCCAAAACGCCAGCCAGCGCACGGGGCGGCGGCGAGGCGGCGAATGGGTTGAACACTCGAAAACGCCAGCCAGCGTACGGGACGGCTGCGAGGCGCCGACGGGCGACAACGGGACGAAAACCCGGAGACGCTACCGAATTAAGTATGTGGACTGCCGTGCGGCCGGCACCGCCGACCCCGAAGGGAGACGACGACGGCGGCGGCGGCTACGACGACGATGCTGACGCTCTGGAGTCTTTCTTGGTGCTCGTTTGGGAGCCTGTTGGGCTCTGTTGAGGGGTCTCTTTGGGGACTTCTTGGGAAGCTCCTCGGTCACTTGGAGCCGACTCGGAGCAAATCTGAGGCTTCTCAGCGGCATGTCGGAAAAGACGCAGCACCCTGCAACAGCAGATAAGAGTGAGGAGGGTGCCTCCAGGGGGGGTCTGGGAGGATGAGGGGATGGTGAGGGGTCCTGAGCTCCCCTGTCCACAAGGGACCAGCCCCCCGTCCCCCGTCCCCCGTGTCCACAGGGGGGACCCCCCGGGGGGAGGTCACGACCCCCGGGACCCCCCCCCCTCCGCTCCCGCCAGGGACGGGATCAAAGGGAATGGGCTTCCCTTCGAATCAGTTACGGCGTTGTTCGATTTGCATCCGGCTGAATCGCTTGCAGGGTCGGCGGGGAAGTAAGAACCCCGGATGGGGGAATACAATATTTGCGCAGTGAGTCCCACGCGAGATGCATGCATAAGTCGACCGCCTCCTGTCTCGACTGACACAGTGCTCACAGCTTTTTCAGCAGTTACAACAAAGCTGGGGCTCACGCGGATGCCTCTCGCACTGCGGTTCCATCATCGTCTCCTCCACTAGCACATTCTCGCTATCCACCACTGCCTTCCGTTTTCGGCACGAGCTCTTGCCCCCCCTGATCGAAGTGCGCCTTAGGTTGCTTATGTCGAGCGGTGCTGAGTTGCGCCTCTCTTGCAGCGAGCGGCGCCGGGGACTGGAGCCTCTTATGGTGGAGGCCGCAGCGGCGAGATGAAGAAGCGCCACGCGAAGCCGCCACAGTCCACGACGTCCGCGAGGCTTCCGTCCTGGCACCTGCTGGCGGTCTTGCTGTGTGCCGCGGTGGTGTTGTGCTGGGCCCTTAGCGAGGTGCTGCTGCTGCGCGTCCAGTGCGCTGGCGACCCAACCGCGGCCTTGCACACGGACAAGGACTGGGAGGGACGGGGTTGCCGGGTCGTTGTTGCGCCGCGCACCAGCATGGCCGCGGGTTAAACAGCTTACATCGGCAGATGCCAGGGTCTCCGGAGCCCCCCGCAGGCTTTTGGAGGTCCACGTGGTGGGGGCCGTAGACGCAGGCCAAAAGCGCAGAATCAGAGTTACACAAAATAATTATAGTATTCCAAAGAAGAAGAACAAGAAGAATGAGAAGAATAATAATAATGAGACGAATAAGGCGCTGTGTGTCCAGAAGGCACGTTACCAATATTATTATTATGATTGACGCTTCGCGTATCCCCACCATCTCTCAGGATGCCCCCCGCCGTCAGCTCCCCTTCAGCTTCGCGGCTGCTTTGTGAGTGGGCCGGCCGGCCTGTGCCTGTTGTAGCTAATTCGCCTCGTTCGCGCCCCGGACTTTGCTTTCGCCGACTGCCTCTTCGCTCGCGGCCGCGACCGAGAAAGTATCCCCACCAGCCCATCCAGAAAAACGATCAGCAGGGAAATTGGTGAATCAGGGGCGGCTGGAAGCATGCAGTTGCGCGGCCGTCTTCAGAAAAACAAGGATCACACATAGCCGCCCGCATTGAAGTTTAAGATGGAAATCGGTGCAAGCTACGCCGCGGTGTTCCCCGTGGTAATCGTCTGTGGTTCTGGTGGTTGCGTCCATGTTGGTCCAGACGAGATTCGGGTCTGGAGCATAGTTTTCCGCAGCGCAGTTTATAATTTAAGCCAGTGCAGTATACGTCGTGGCGTTCCCTGTTGTAAGCGTCTCTGGCGCAGGTAGCCGTAGGTATGATTCGTCGCTAGTGTCGCGCAGGTGAAAGTCGCATTTCCACATGCATCTTTGATCTGTGCCCCTTGCATTGTTTGTTGAATGTTAAACTCGCGTGCGACAACTTCTGGAGTTCTTGGGCCTGACCTCCCTGACCCATTTTTGCGTGGCCCGTCGCAATTGGCCGTCTTGGGGATCATGCGTGCAGATAGATGCCCTTGGTTGTTTCAATCATTGTACTGTTCGCAGGCGCTCGACGCCGGGGATCGCGACGCTGGTGGATAGCGCGGCCGCTTTGGGCGCCGTGAGGGGGCAGCCCATAGTTCGTCCTCTGCAGATTGCGTTTCCACTGCAGATTGGTGTTCCGCTTCAGGTTGGGTTTTTGCTGCAGATTCCTGTTGTTCTGCAAGTTGGCTACCGTTATGGAGTTCGCCGCGTGACGGCTCCAGACGGCCGCCTGGTAGCATGCAGTTCCGCGGCCGTTCTCCAAAAACAAGGATAGAACATAGCTGCCCGCATTGAAGTTCAAGATGGACATCAGTGCAAGAATTGCCGCGGTGTGTCCCGCGGTAATCGTTTCTGGTGCAGGTGGGTATACCCGCCGTGGGCCAGAAGAAGCAAGGATCGCGCACGTAGTTTCGAGCAGCAGAAACTATTATGTTATCCAGTGCAGGGCACGCCGTGGTGTTCCCTGTGGTGAGCGTCCCTGGCACACGTGGCTGCATCTATCATTCGTCGCTGTTGTTGCGCAGTCGTGAGTCGCATCCCCATGTGAATCCGTGATTTCTGCTCCCCCCCACGCCGATTTCCATCTTAAACTTATGTGCGAGAACTTTTGGAACTCCTGGGTCTGATCTGCCCTGGCCCGTGTCGGTGTGGCGTGTAGCGCTTGGCTGCTTAGGGGTCATGCATGCATATGCTCGCGGTCGTTTCATTTTTTGTCGCAGGCGCGGGGGCGCGCATAGGCCGCGCGGTGCGCACAGGCACTGCCGTTATCAAATTTGGGAGGGCAGTTTTCTGGGCCAGAAAAGCAAGTACTTTAGTTAGCTTTCCGCAGCGTTGTTTAAGATAGAAATCAATGAAATGTAACTCGTTACCCGCAGTGTTCAGGCTCGAGTGTTTCGAAGTTTGTGGTTGCGCTTTTCAAGGGCCTTGCAGTTGCGCAGCCATGGCCACCCCGGAACGGGCGTTCCTCGCCGCGTTGCCCCGGTGTATAATTTTCGTCGGTCTTCCAACGTGGCGCGGCCCGATCGCGTCTGCGTGTTCTGTCGCGCGTGATCTGATGTCAGCACGTCGCGCGATTGCTTTGCGCATGTGTCCCAGCGCTCATGGCTGCTCCCGTATTTTTCGTGGGCGGATCAGAATTTCAGTCTGTTGGGCTTGTCGCGAGATTGTGCGAGCGTACCCGTTTCGCTGGCGAGACGTCTTGCACCTCTACAGCGCGTCGACGGCGGAGAGCGCGCGCATCTGGGATCGCGATTCCGATGGCGACGAGAATGATGAAGGGTGGTCAGGGCCAGCGCCTGTGCCAGGGAACCGGCTCGCGCTTTGGCTTCTGAGCTAGCCGAGTTTCGATGAAGAAGCAGACGTCGAGCAAGTCGTCGCGTGGATCTGCGCCGGATGGCGTTGCGGCCAGCGCATCGGGATTGGCGATCTGCGCGGGGACGTTTGCTTGCAAGGTGACATTTGGTGAGTGAGCCTCGCGCGCCGCAGAGCTCGGGCGCGCGCCCTTCGGCCAACCCTTCCCTCGCAATTCTGCGAAGGTGGTGCAGCCATTTTTTTTTTGAGTGTCCTCCCGTCCCTCGACGGGGAGTCAATTTTGCATCGACTCGTTCGGGGCTCCTCTGTCATGCATTTCTGTCGGCGCCGTTTTTTGCGCGTCGCATGGCCCCGTTGCTTTGAGCTGTTCTCTCTGGGCCGCGACGTCGGTGGATAGCGCGACCGCCTTTGGGCGTTGCCATGGTGCGCGTTCGAGTTGCATGCGCCGATTGCGTCGCCACTGCGTATGGTTTTCCATTGCAGATTGGGCATCCACTGCAGATTGGGCTCCTACAGCACGCGTGGCTACTTTTGCGGAGTTCGCCAGGCGACAGCGCCGCGCCGGGCTGGGTTTCTATCAGTAGCTAGACCCGCTCGGATACATGCGGGGTTTGCAGAATCGGAAAGTTCCTCTTTTAGCATTTGCGCTGGCTTGTATCTTAAACCCGCGTGCTTTCCGGAATCGGTCGGGTGCTGGTTTTGTTGCCGTTGCTCCGGCCACTGCAGATAGGTTTTCTACCGCAGATTGGTTTTGCGCTGCAGATTGGACCGCCGCTACAGATTGGCTTATCCCTGCGATTTAATTCGCACCAGTACGGTTCATTATTTCGAAAAGAATGCCCGCTACATGGATTTCCGCTGCAGATAGGTCTCCTCCTGCAGCGTGGGAGATCGGTCGCCGCAGTCTTTTTTGTCATCGCCCGCTCGTTCAATAGCTATCGAATATACTGCAGCATCGTCTCCGCTGCAAATTGGTTTAGCACCGCAGGTTTGCGCTCCGCTGCAGATTGAGCCATCCACCGCAATTAGGGCTATTTATGACGCCATCTTCTATTGTCTGGGGCCGTTTTGGAGGTATCTTGGGCCATTCGGGGCGCGCGAATGTTTCGTTTTCCTTTTCCCCATGCTTCATGCGCCACGAAGGGTGGAGAGGGCGCGCTCTCGACAACCTGCGCAGAGGGCCGGCGGCGCTGGGTGGCGATTGTCTTCGGCCCGGAAAAAAAAACAACAACATCATTTTTAACTTTCCGCTCTGCGCTCCTCGCCTTCATCTTTCTGCATCTCCTGGCCCCCCTCCTTCTTCAGTTTTTTTTTTTTTTTTGGTTTCCCCCCCCCCCCCCCCCCCCCCCCCTCGGTTGTTTGTGCGAACTGTTGTCTACGCGATGTGGATTTGAGGATGCAGGCGCTTGGGGCCAAGCGGCTTTTCAGGTTGCATACTGCAGCCGGCAAGGCTGTCGTCTGCAATGCGTCCTGCCGCGGATGTGTCCGTCGACGCACCTGCGGCGCCAGTGGCCGGGATGGTCGCGAGCGATTCGCCGCGGGGGGCGGCGGTCGCCATGCGACCTACCATGGCGCGCATGTTCACCCCGTCTGCTGTTGCCAGGGGGCGGCGCCGAGCGTTGCGGGCTTTGCCGCGCGGGCGCGCCCCCGAGATGATCGACGTCGGCGAGGGGCCTCGCATCTCGACGTCCGCGTCGGGTGGCGGCCGCGAGCGTGGGGGCGCTGAGCGCGGCGAGGCGTCAACCGTTGTTGGAAGCGTGGGCGGAGTGTTCACAATGCTTCGCCAGCTGGCGCCGGGCCGCCGGCGTCGCGATCCTGCTCGAGGGGGGGGGGGGGGGGCGTTCGTGCGAGGCGGTCGTCTTGCTGTCGATGTAGACGTTGCAGAATTGCGGCGTACGCGACGCTCTGTTCCCCGTTCGTGTCGGCGGGGCCCCCGCGGCGGCGCGTCAGTTTTGGATTTTTCTCAGGGCCATCTCCGCGGCGTCGTGGGCGCGCGGGGCATCGCGACGTTGGTCGTGGCGAAGCTGAATGGGGGGACTTGGGTGGCCCACGGTAATCGCAGATAATTCGCTTTGAAAGAATTCCAGCGAGTCTCGGGTCGGCGCGCGCGTGCTCGCTGCACCGCGCACGACCCGACGAGCGAGCGCATCGTGCCGCGCCAGGCGTTCGCGAAGTTAGCGTGATAGGCATATTCCAGCCGAAGACCGCGACTTCTTGAACGGATTGAATCCGCAGCCAGATTGGCGGGGCAACGCGCTGGGAAAGCGCGCGCGAGGAACGGCTGACAGTGGTGAGACGGACAATTCTTTTCATGGGGTCTCCGAGTATACCACGGCCGCTATCGAGTGGCCCCGCGTGAGTCGCGACTGCGCCTGTTCTGTCGATCGGTCTTGCGCGGGCCACGACCCTGCAGCATCGGAATGCTTGCGATTGCAGACGGCCGCCGCCGATTGGTTTGGCCCATGCTGATTGGTTCGCCCACGTTTCGCCCGCTGCGGACGCGAGTTGCCCCAGACGGAAAGTGCGCGGGAGTACGCGCGCATCGCTTTTCGCAGACGTCGCGCCACTGCAGATTGGGTTTTCCACTGCAGATTGGTGCCGCGCGGAATCCTGCGCAACTCTTCTTAATATTTGCATTTGCAGACGGCCACTTCGGATTGGTAGGTTCGCCGCGGCGGAT